CAAAGAAGAGAACCCTGGAGCTTGCTTCTTATCAAGCTGCGATGACCTAGGCCTTGCTTGCACCTTTTTTGTACATTTCTTTCGGGTTGGTCTAAACTTCTAGACGGCTCCCTCGCGATCTTCTGCGGCCATTGAGACTCGCAGGCTTGTGCTGTGGCCCCCAAAGCAAAGTGAAAGGACCCCTTTGTAAGACAATTTTCCTTTGGGGCCTCTTTTAGGTTCATGTTTTGAACGGGTAATCCTTGGACATGGTCGTTGGAGGCATCAATGGCAGCTACCCGAGCTTTTCCCTTTTTGCGGAGCCAGCACGTCCCAGAAAAAAATCTTAGCTTTGGCTGTGCCTGGATTTGCTGAGCTCGCTTGGCGTCATGTGCCATCCTTGCTAGTGAGGACTTGGTGCAGGAAGGCGCCCATTTAGGGACGGCCACGTCGCACATGTTTACAGAATATGATAGCGCATCCCACTTCTCTGGGCATGTATTGCACTTGCATACGGGGAGCAAGGGGCACCTACCAGCCACCAAGTGCGTCCAGGATTTGGGTGTTGGATTTTCATCGTTGGGTGGCCACCACCCTTCTTGGCAGAGATCAATTTCCACTCCCCGATCGCCCACTATGAAATTTGGCTTCACGAGGGACGTTTCATTTGGCTCTTCACCAGCTCTTTCAAAGAACTTCCACATGTAGCACACAGTACCCTTTTAGGACCCTTGATTTTGCTAGAAGTCCAGTGTTCTAGTCTCAGACACATGGAGGGTGGGCAAAGCTGCTTAAACATCCAGCGTAGATGGGTAAAATATGGTGAGGTCACCCGACCTCACTGTGAATTCGACCTAACCCTGAAAGATTAAATAAGCAGGCGCATGACCCTTTTCGGTCCTTGGCCCCCTTTCCCCGAAGCGGTGTGCTTCCCTTGGGCTTCGCGGCTTCCCTTTCAAGAAGACACAAAATGCGAAGCCCACTGAAAAGCGCTGCTTTCACGCAAGTCACTCACTCGTGCGCGGTTTCTTGGTGGCTCCCAGCCATTTCCTTAGCTTTTTAGTTGTTTTTCGCTTTTTAGTGTTTGGTTTGCATTAAACCCACCAAAAGTTAAGAACTTTTAGGGGATCTGATTGGCGCATGGGCTGACCTGCCAGGCCTTAGCAGAAGCGCCTCAGAGCTGGAGCGCTGGTGCTGGCGACCTTTTTGTTTCCGGGTTCTCCTGGGTTGGTTTAACGGGGAACCAAAGGGAAACCACCCTCTTCTTTTCTGGGCTCCCCTGTTTTGAGACAACCCCTTGTTTCCGTGGAGGTGGTTGCGTTCACTATGCCGGTTCACCCCTTTTTCCGCTGGTCCTCGAAAGGGTGCCCGTTTCCTCTCACTGCCTTTCCAAGCCGGACTTTAGTCACTTGGGTTTGACTTTAGTGGCACACAAATTTTCAACCATTCCTTTGTGACTGGCTGGGTGCAAGGAATAACTTGGATAGAGCCGGCCAGGCTGCCACCTGGAAGGCCTAAGTATCCAACTTGGGGCCGCCCCACTTTGCACCACCCTCACTTCCATTTGCTTAAGGGTATTTTGTTATTTTCCCTTCCTGGTTTTAAAGGAAACCTATCATTACAGGACATGTTTATTTTTTCTGGGAGCTTAAGCAAATGGAGGCTTAGTGTTCCCGATAGGGTGGAGGCACTTCTCTCGGCGCAAATGAGGTAGCCACTGTACCATATTTTGAGGTAGGTGTGGGCAGTGGAAGCGGTCGACTCAAAAACACTCGAGCTATGGAGTGTGATAAGGGTAGGGCGTGGATATCAGGCGCCTGTCACTCCACCAAGGAAAGCATGACCTCGCAAGGGGTTGTTGGTTTCCAATGCCAAGGTACCTTTCTTTGGGTCCGTGATTTCAGCTGTCCTTGGGGTAATCAAGCATGGAAAGCAGCTTCGGTGGACCCGCCGCGGGCGCTGTTCCTCGGCCAAGGAAGGGCATCGGAGTTCGTCCCCTTGGCTTCGCCAAAGTGCAGGCCCCTTCCACTTGCCAATAGCCAAGGCGTTACATCATAAAATTTCTCAGTTGCCCCAACAGAACTTGAGAAGTGCACGTGGGCCTTTTGGTTTGGGCGCTATTGCGTGTTCCTCCAGACCCTTAAGGGTCAAGAGCAGCATGTGGCTCGCGCGTGAGAAAGAAAGAGGCGAAACCATCAGCCCCCCTCAGCCCAAGGGTTTGTGTTATTTTTCAGGACTCCCAATATGGTTGGTGTCCTTTTTGTGTTGCAAGCCAAAACAATCGGGGGCTTCCCCCAAGGAATGACGCAGGCAAGCGGGATTGACCAAGAAAGCCTTGGTCAGGCCGGGTCCTTTGCGCTTTAAGCACCACATACATTAACCTTTTTCCACCAATCACAGAAGTGCACAGGCACTACAGGGGGCACTTCTGGGATGACGGTCTTCCAATACCTTCCGGTACTTAAGAAGCAGCAATGAACTGGAGTTGCACTTAATTGTGTCCAACAAGTTCTTGGCTTTGGCGCATCGGTCGCTAGCAATGAAGCGTGAGTTCGCGCCATGCTATGGAAGTGTCCAATCCCATCCCTCACTAGATGGCAGGAAATAAACACCTTGCAAGTTGTCCGAAGGTGTTTTGTTTTTTGGCGAACGATCATGCTATTGTTGAACAGGGCCTGGAAATTGTCGAGGCGTCGCGGTCATGAATACTCGCTTGCCATTTGTTCAATGCTCAAACATGTTCGGGCCATGAAGGCTGATGAACTTACCGAAGGCCCAGTTCCCAACTTAAACATATCTGCATGGCTGTTGGTCAAAACCAATTGTACCACTTTGGGGTAGGTGCGCCACCCATTTCAGTCTATTTTAGTGGGGATTGGGATGTTCACTGGAGGTACGGGATTTTGACCCATGGCCACATCTCAAATGATGATTTGATCTTACCCCTCTAGAGTGCGCCTTCGCACATGTGCCAACCTAGGTTTCAACCAAAAATAAACATATTGAACAGGGGATCATGCACAACAGGGTGCGGGAAAATTTAGCCCGTAGAAAACTGATGGTTAACCAGTATCATGCGAGGGGTACATGTATATGCCCCTGCTTGTGTAAGGAAGATACCAACAAAAAGACAGGCAAACTTGCGGCGTCGGTTGGTGGTGGTTCCCCTTTCTGTAGATTGAAGAGCATCGGCTTTGGGCAGTTTCCCTGACAGTTTCTGGTCGTGATATTACCAAGCTTTCGCACTAGTGTTGCCACAATGTCCAACCAGTTTGCACCATTCTTTGCCAAGGGCGTCATTTTCTGTCCGCGCCCATGGCTTCGCTGCAAACACACAAACATACAAACACACAAACACACAAGCACACAAGCACACAAGCATGCAAACACACAAACGCACAAACACACAAACACACAAACACACAAACACACAAACACACAAACACACAAACACGCAAACACGCAAACACACACAAACACACAAACACACAAACACACCCACACAAGCACACAAACACACAAACACACAAGCGCACAAGCGCACAAGCGCACAAGCGCACAAGCACACAAGCACACAAACACACAAACGCACAAACGCACAAACACACAAACACACAAACACACAAACACACAATGACAAACACACAAACACACAAGCACACAAACACACAAACACACAAGCACACAAGCACACAAGCACACAAGCACACAAGCACACAAGCGCACAAACACACAAACACACAAGCACACAAACACACAAGCACACACACAAACACACAAGCACACAAACACACACACACACACAATCACACAAGCACACAAGCACGCAAGCACACAAGCGCACAAGCGCACAAGCACACAAGCACACAAGCACACAAACACACAAGCACGCAAACAGACAAACACGCAAACACACAAACACAAACATACAAACACACAAAGCAACAAACGCACAAACACACAAACGCACAAACACACAAGCACACAAACACACAAACACACAAACACACAAACGCACAAACACACAAACAGACAAACACACAAACACACAAACACACAAGCGCACAAGCGCACAAGCACACAAGCACACAAGCACACAAGCACACAAGAACACAAGCGCACAAACACACAAACACACAAACGCACAAACACACAAGCACACAACCGCGCAAACACACAAACACACACACACAAACACACACACACAAACACACACACACACAAGCACACACAAACACACACAAACACACAAACACACACACACTCACACACAAGCACACTGACACACACACACACCACACACACAAACACACAAACACACAAACACACAATCACACAAACACACAAACACACAAACACACAAACACACAAACACACAAACACACAAACACACAAAACACACAAACACACAAACACACAAACACACAAACACACAAACACACAAACACACAAACACACAAACACACAAACACACAAACACACAAACACACAAACACACAAACACACAAGCACACAAGCACACAACCACACAAACACACAAACACACAAACACACAAACACACAAACACACAAACACACAAACACAAAAACACAAAAACACACAAACACACA